TAAATTTCCAATTTTTAACAATTATTTATTATGAAACTAAATACATGTTATTATTAACTTTAAAAACAATATCACTGACACCGATGAATACTCCCAGACACAACTAAAATATTGCCATAAAACCTATATAAAATCAATTTTAAACTTCAAACAGCTAAAAATATTCGATTTTTCACCCCTGTCAAAAAATTATATGAGCCTGAAACGTAGCTACAAGCCAAAATATGTAATGTATCATTCAATGAATGAAAGATCTAAAGGAACATTTAATTAAGGTAACTTCAGTACAAACAGCCACTTTACTCTCCCATAAAAAGGAAAATATAGATCACCTTGTTGCAATTCAGGCTGCGAATATGTGGCTTCAATATTAGATACTGGCTCTGTATGATCTCTGACTGTTCCTCTTCTTCATCAAACTATGTGTGACTGGTTCCAGTCTCTCACTTCTTAATTTACCAATAAGTCCTCTTGACGCAGAGTTGCCTAGAACACAACATAATAGCAAATTATACAAAGTTTTTCTTTTACAGAAAAAACAAATTTTGTACATTGAAACAGAAATTTAAAATAAAACCAAAGAATTTTCATAAAAAAACAAAAAACCATTGCCCCAACCTTAATATTTGGAAAAAAAAAAAAATTAAGGGGTATTCATGGTTTATTTTAACTGCAAATTAAACAAAAATGAAAATATCCCCTCCTTTACAACCCCAACCAACTCTATTTTCAAAAATCATAAAGATCAAACCCCTGATTTATTTCTTTGTGATTTATCATAAAAAATTACGCCGTTACGTTCCCTGCTTGGGATGTATAGAAGTTTTATCAATGCCAAGGAAGCAACTTACTATTTAAATGCTTACAGCCTTTTCCATGAACCATGCGTAAATTCAATGTGATTTTACTCCTTGACCCAATGAAAATACAACACCATCACCAACATGGTTTTAATTGCCCCGGAATAACTAGAATCTAGTTTACAGAATAGAAAAAAATTTCATTGAGGAAAATTCAGGATGCTACAAACCCCGATTGTTTTATTTTTATAGGTCAACAAAAAATTTACGTACTTTTTCAAATACAATTTCTAGTTTTAAAAATATTTTAAACAAAAAAAAACATTAACTGAAAAATAAGATATAATAAATTTTTTAAAACTGTAAATGATATTAAACAATATTTACCACATGGATTCCTCTTTTCTATAGTTTCATTGTTTGAGAAAATCTAGTTTTCCTTTATAATTTTTTCCCCTCGTAGATAATTTCTCATGGGCCCCCTCCTTCTCCCTGAACTGTCTCTCTAATGTCGTTATACAACTTAATATACAAGAAAAAAGTGCGAAAAGCTATTCTTTTAATGCGTAAATCGCCTTCGAGTTGATCGTGTGAAGTTATTTTCCAATGAAATCGAATGACAAGTGTAAAATGGCTTCTACATAATCAGCAAAGCTGATACAATCCATCAGGACAGCATAGTCATGTAATTTAATTTTTTATTACATACCTTCTGTTTACAGTAACAACTGAACAAAACCCATAAGATTTATTACATTAAGAATAGGCTGTTTGTGGTGGCAGACCAAGTGGTTAACGTCTAAAATTAGTAATTTAATGATCGCTAGCCGCATGGGTTCAAACCCAGTTAAGCCTAAGGGCAAGTTGTTGTGTTCTTGAGCAAAAAACTTTACACTCATTGCTCATTACTGATTGGTTCTAGGAATGATTTAAAAGTGCATCTATAAGCTTATAGTTTCCTACATAATTGGACCAAAATAAATTTTGTATAAACCAATTATAGGCTTTTAAACATGTTAATACATGCAAGGTGTTGAATAGAGAAACTTTTGCAATTTAAGTATTTCTTCAACTGAAAATGACTTCAATATCTTCAGAAAACTTGTAAGTATACAATTAATTAAAACATCAATTACTTAAAAAATATTTCTAGTAATGTTATTATCATACATCAAAATTTAACATTTAACAACACAGAATATGTCCTTTACTTTAAATTTTCAGGTGTTATTACACTCAATAGATAGTTATACCTGCTTTAGCATGTTCACGTTTAGCCTCATTAATTTGTCGATCCATGTCAGCAAGTCTGTCCGAGAACTGGTTTTCTACATCCCTTCTCTGTTCTTCTAGAACTTAAATTGTAAAAATTAAAGTTTTCAAATTTTCCTTTGAAAAAAGTATTGAATGGTTTCAATGGTAACAATTATTTAAGGTAATCTAGTCCAGGCCCATTAGCAGGTGGCGTGAAAGCTCAGTTGGTTTAATATAGGGTTAACGCATGTTTTTCCGTGTTATAACGTCTGCAGAGTCCCGAGGAACGGTTGGTGCCCGAGCCCAGCAGGGCGAGGGCTCCAACAGTTCCGAGGGACTCTGCAGACTTTATAACACGAAATAAACGTGCGTTGACGCTATTATAGCATAAAATTTTAAAACAGATTCATGATGTACATTATATATAAAACACAAACATTAAATCCTTGTGCTTGAACGGTATACGGTATTTATCCAACTCTACATGTTTTACATATGCGTTTTATTTTTTCCGGGGCCAACAACTTGAGAACTGAACGAAATTTCGAATTCTAATTGATTTAACAAAGTTTAACTTTGGAGATATATTAACTTAAGAAAAGCATAGCATTACTCTACCCAAGACAAAACAGGCGCCACAGAAATTCCTAGAATGATTACAGATTGGCGGTAGGAAAAAGATCAGTGATATCAGATTCAATTTCAGAATCGGTTTTTAAGTTTAAAAAAAAAAATAGGCATAAATCATTATTCTCTCAAAGAAACATACAGAACGTTTATCAATATAAACGTCAATAAAACAAGGTTTTCTTATATTCATTTTGTGCTTTCCATTTTTGTAAGTTAATCGGGGGATTAAACTGAATGACAGATTCTATTTGTTTACATTGACAACTGTCGGTTTCTAAGAAAGGGCGACAACCAAGATAAGCGGCGATGTCTATACGCCTTATTGCCGGTATAAATACTTGAATGCTGCTCGCCATTATGCGACTGAGGCCCTCGAATTAATAATTTCAATATAACAAGAGCGCATGACTCTGGCAAACAGGCCAAATCGTCATTTTTTGTTTGTTTACTGGGCCCTGTATGTATTGCGCATAGGTAAAACGGGGCTATAACAAGAGCGCGTGACTATGTTAACGCATGGTTTTGGCCCCGTTATAACATGGGCAAAAGAAGGAAAAATAGCCAATTTTATGCTATAATTACTGATTATCACTCCTGAAATAATGCACGGAAGGGCACCTGAGGTCTTCCTCCACCAGTAAAGCTGGAACGTCGCGATATGACCTATACTGTGTCAATGTGACTTAAAACCCAAAACAAACAAAACAAATCACTCCTGAGGTCCTAGGTTCGATCCTGGGTTACACCCTTGGGATTTTTCAGAGACACTTTCAGTGTTTCCCACCTACCTAGAGGTGTACTGATAAGAAATCCAGGTTATCCTTGCATGTATCAGTGCTATACACTGGACGCGTATAAGAACCAAGGGTTCTATTCAATAAGAGCTAGGGACTGATTCCCTTGTATCTCATAGCTGCTGTCTCTTTAATGTATACAATAAATACCTTCTTAGAGTGGTTGTAAACGATTTTAAAGGAGTATGATGTAGAAGTAGAAGTAGCACCTGCTTAAGTAGAATTGAACATTTAACATGAACTGGTAAATTTTGAAACATCAGCATCTGTTATGTCTTCCATTACAGCTAAAGATGTAGATGATATCATAATGTTATAAATTGTTGATCAAATCTTAATTACAATGTTACCACTCTGTTTACATTGATGAAATACTAAAGAAAGTGCTGTTCTCTTCAGAGTAATGAAACAGAACAAAAAAAAAATGAAAATCACAGACCCGGTTTAATTGAGTAATTTATAATTTACTTTATCAATTAGGTATGTATAAAAATTCATAAATAATTGTGAAGATTTACTTTTTGCTTTTTTTTAAATTCTTGTTTGCCCATTGGGGTTTTTAAAAATCTTCTATATTCTTTGGGGCGTGTCTAGATCATCGACTTTTTCCAAACTTCCCCCGATAGTTCAGAAAATTTCTGTAAAAAAATTATCTCTACTGTATATAATACTCTATGACATATACTCTATAAATTATATTATGTACAGAAATCATATTTAAATTAGCTAATGGAATTTAATGGATGAAGAAAAGAGCACATGGCTGTGATTTGAACATAACATCATAAAGTTACCTGTGATTTGATATATTATCATAAGGTTACCTGTGATTTGATATAACATAAAGTAACCCGTGATTTGATATAACATAACTGAGTTACCTGTGATTTGATATAACATCATTAAGTTACCTGTGATTTGATATAACATCATTTAGTTACCTGTGATTTGATATAACATCATTAAGTTACCTGTGATTTGACATAACATCATAAAGTTACCTGTGATTTGATATAACATCATTAAGTTACCTGTGATTTGATATAACATAATTATGTCACCTGTGATTTGATATAACACATAGTTACCTGTGATTTGATATAACATCATTAAGTTACCTGTGATTTGATATAACATCATTAAGTTACCTGTGATTTGATATAACATCATTCCTGTGATTTGATATAACATCATTAAGTTACCTGTGATTTGATATAATATAATTATGTCACCTGTGATTTGATAGAACACATAGTTACCTGTGATTTGATATAACATCATTAAATTACCTGTGATTTGATATAACATCATTAAGTTACCTGTGATTTGATATAACATCATTAAATTACCTGTGATTTGATATATTATCATAAAATTACCTGTGATTTGATATAACATAAAGTTACCACTGATTTGATATAACATCATAAAGTAACATGTGATTTGATATAACATAAAGTTACCTGTGATTTGATATAACATCATTAAATTACCTGTGATTTGATATAACATCATTAAGTTACCTGTGATTTGATTTATTGTCATAAAGTTACCTGTGATTTGTCTTGTACAATACTCTCCAGATCAGAGTTGGCTTGTTTTAATGTTTCAATTTCTTCCTCCACTAAAATTAATGAAAGATAAACAAATAATGTACCATGTCAACAAAAGACAATTAAATTAACTGGAATTTGAAATAAGGTTGGTGATGGTGTCTTTACAAATGATTTTGTACATTTGTACTTGTCAGATCATTCAAACATTACATACAAATACATTTAACATTCATAAAATAAATGGAACCACTGAAATTTTTAACAAAGTATGACTGGAAATTTTATTTTTGAGACTTTTTTTTACAATTTGATGAAGGTTTAGATCATTTGCTCACCTTTTTAATTTTAATCAGGCTAAAAATCACAATAAATATCGATATTCAACCTATCTCTTAGTAAAGTTCTTAATTATCTGTTTTTTGTTGTTGTTTTTTCTCACTTTTGCACCTTTGCTAAACTGGGAACTATGCTAAACTGATTACAAATGAATTGTTTATGATATAGGTTTCCTATTTGGAAATATTAAGCAGAAATTACTCTAGATAATAATTTAGCACACATCTTTGGCAAATCGGTGACTTTTCTTTGAATTTACATGTTGTAATGTGAAATAAATTCAAATTGTTGTTTTACTCACTTAAAAGGCCCCTTCAATTGAAATATTTAAAAAATTAAGTTTGATAAATCATAAAATGATTACTATCTTTAACTTAATGACAAAAAATGAGCCGCGCCATGACAAAACCAACATTGTGGGTTTGCGACGAGCATGGACCCAGACCAGCCTGTGCCTCCGCTCAGTCTGATCAGGATCCATGCTGTTCGCTTACAAACCCTATTACAAGTAGAGAAACTGATAGCGAACAGCATGGATCCTGATCAGACTGCGCGGATGCACAGGCTGGTCTGGATCCATGCTGGTCGCAAAGGCACTATGTTGGTTTTGTGGTGACGCGGCTCAAATGTTACTAGTATAAGAATTTACCTTGAGATCTGATGGAGAGAACTTTGTTGTCTAAGGTTTGAGAATCTTGTTTTATTTGAGCTGCCAGGTTATCTCTTTCTCGTATCACTCTCTCCAACTCACAACGTAAATATGAACTTTCCTCACTGGAAACAAGGTGTAAAAAATATATAGAGGATATTTGTTTGTTTTGCATGTAAGATTGAAATATAATTTCACTGAGTGAACACTAGATGCAATATTTTCACGAGTGGCGTAGCCAAGAGTGAAAATATAATAGCTGGTGTTCACGAATGAAATATATTTCAATCTTATATGGTAAAACAAATAAATTTTCTTTTTATTTCATGCTTTTTTAATTTATTTTAAGTATTTTTTACTGATTTTGCCGCGTAAACGTCGCGCATTCTCCTTTGTTTCGTCATCATATCATGACGTCACATCATCAATTTTGAAATATAGTTCTGGGTTAAATTTCTCTAATTATGTTACATTTTTAACATGATGTAAAAATGGTGACATCGACTTTCTTTTCCTAAAGAAGCAAAAATTTTCGTATGACGGCATTTATTTCCGCCTGTTATTCCATATAGTTTAATTTTCTTTTCATCCGCATTCAGATATAGTCCGGCTACAGTGAAAATTATATTTTATAAATTTCACTAGTGGTTTATCAGAATATAATCATCTGATATATTACAATAAAACACGAGAAAGCATGAAATAAATAAACTTAATCATAAACTTCCCTCAATGTATATGACATGAAAAAACAACATGTTAAAATGAAATTTCTTCACTGAAATGGAAGTTGAAAAACAACATAGATACAGTTTGTTTGTTTTCATGCCAAATGAAACACATTTTCCTGGGTCATATCCGGACGGTCAAAAAACCTTTCCAGTTTTCCTGGATAACTAACTAGTAATTATCTCTACCAGTGACTGACTACCTATCACCCAATTTCTGAATCAGCTATGAGAGACCAATGACCATTACACTCAATACCTGAGATATTTGTTACAGAGAAACTTTCTTCAACCTCGAAATAATGTTAACAAGATATGTTTGTAAAACATGTATGCCCCCTATCAGCAGCCCCAATTAGTATTCGTGATAAAAGGTTTATTATTGCATTTGACTTCTGAAACCCAGTGAATTCAAACAAATTAAATAAGGGTTATAAAGTTATCCTACTGGTCCATCTGACGCTTAAAATGAGAGTGTTGACATTTGACTCCTTCTATGATACCGCAAAACTCAATAGGGGTCATCTGCTGTCACGAACAATCATCATACAAAGTTTGAAGTTCCTAGGCCTAGCGTTTTAAGTAAATTTGATCACGAAACCGTTTTTACCTACAAGGGTCAATGTGACCTGGATCTGAACCTTATGACCCCTTGACCCCAAAATCAATAGGGGTCATCCTAGCTGGTGATATAGTTGAAGACCAATCACCATGCCTAGGTTGAAATTCTTCGGTTAGGCTAAGGGTTCTCTTTATTCATTCGGGATTCGCTATAACGTTTTATTTACAGCATACAAGGTCAATGTGACTTTGGACCTTTAGTAACTTGGCCAAAATCAATAGGGTGCTCATTCGCTGATGGGTCTACTCGACCAACTTCACCATGCAAGGGTTTTGAAGTTCCTACGGTAGGTTCCGAAGTTCGAATTTCTCTTAGTTAATTGATGCAGCAAACTGCAGGAATTATATTATAGCTTACATTTGAGTCATTTGTTGTTAACCCTGGTGACCTTTGTGACCCCTTTAATCCCAAAAAATGCAATACAGGGAGTAATTCTGGCTTGGAATCACATGACAAATCACCCGGATGATTAACCAAGTTTTATAGTATTCCTAGGGCCTAAGTGTATCTGAGTTATTGGCTCCAAGAAAACCGTTTTGTAACTAGTAACAAGGTCAATGTGACCTTGACCCTTTGACCCTTCACTCCTAAAACATAAAAATAGGGGTCATCTGCTGGTTCATGACCAAGGTCATCACACTCAAAGGTTTGAAGTTCCTATAAATGGCCTAAGCCGTTTTTAGTTAATTGATCGGAAACCGTTTTTGTACCCTACAAGGTCAATGTTGACCTTGACCTTTGACCCCATTGGGACTCCCAAAATCAATAGGTTCTCTGCTGGTCATGACCAATGGTCCACCACTACTCCAAGTTTGAAAAGTTCCTATGGCATAAGGGTTCTTTAAGTTATTGATCGGGAAAAGCATTTTTACCTAAGCAAGGTCAATGTGACCTTGCCCTTTAACCCTTTAACCCCACAAAATTCAATAGGGGTCATCTGCCTGGTCATTGGACCACTATCACCATACACGCAAGTTTTTAAGTTCCTAGGCCTAGAGGGTATGCTTTTATTATCTTTGAATTTCGGTTTAAAACTTCGTCTTTTACTTAAGAGGTCATGTGACCTTGACGGCTTTGAAACCCATTGACCCCTAAAATCTAATGGGGTCATAAATACTGGATCATTGACCAATCACATCTCAGAGTTTGAAGTCCCCTAGGCCTAAAGGGTTTTCCTTTTCATTATTGGATCGGTGTTAAAACCGTTTTTACCTATACTTAAGGTCAATGGTTGACTTGACCCTTTTGACCCCTTAACCCCTAAATCAATTAGGGTCATCCTGCATTGGTACATTTAACGCAATCAACAACATACCAAGTTTTGAAAGTTCCTAGGACTTAGGTTTCTTATAGTTATTGTTGGAAACCCGCTATTTTACCCTTTACAAGGTCATGTGACCTTGCCCTTCGCACCTCCTTGACCCCAAAAATATACAATAGGGGTCATCTACTGATTATGACCAATCAGCCATCAGTTTGAAGTTCTCTTAGGCTCTATATAGGTTCTTTTAAGTTATTTGATCGGAAACCGTTTTTTGCTTTCAAGGTGCAATGTGACCTTGAGCCTTTGACCACTTTGACCCAAAATAATTTGGGGTCATCCTCTGATCAATCCGAAGCAACATTCACCAGATACCAAAAGTTTTGCAGTTCCTAGGCCTTAAGGTATTCTTTAGTTTATTTTGATCGGAAGAGCAGCGTTTTTTGCCTACTAAGTCAATGTGGACCTTGACGCTTGACCCCTTGACGACCAAAAATCAATAGGGGTCAATATACTGATCATGACCAATCACCATACCAAGTTGAAGTTCCTAGGCCTTAAGGTTCTTTAGTTATTCGATCGGAAACCGTTTTTGGCTTTCAAGGTCAATGTGACCTTGACCTTTGACCTTGACCCCCAAAATCAAAAGGGGTCATCTACTGGTCATGCCAATCACCATAACCAAGTTTTTGAAGTTCCTAGGCCTTAAGGTTCTTTAGTTTATTGATCGGGAAACGTTTTTGCTTTCAAGGTCAATGTGACCTTGACCTTTGACCCCTTGACCCCAAAATCAATAGGGGTCATCTACTGGTCATGACAATCACCATACAAAGTTTTGAAGTTCTAGGCCTAAGGGTTCTTTAGTTATCACTCGGAAACCATTTGGTCTACGGACCGACGGACCGACAAGTGCAAAGCAATATACCCCCTTTTCTTCGAAATGGGGGCATAACAATAACACTAAATATTTCCAAACACTTGTACACACAGTCATATGTCTAAAAATAGTTTTTTTTATTACGTCAAAGATCTAAACTTTCCTTATGATCAACATTATTTGTCTACAACCATAGAAAACTAACTTTGTAATACAGTTCGCTCGAACTTGCAGGGCCTGTGCAAATTTGTTCCAGTGAACAAAGTTTAACTGCACATTTATTGTATACTTTTTATGAATTCCTCTGTGGTCAGGACATATATATTTTGAAGTATTTTATATACCTATCTTGTTTATCAGCTTCTACATTATGACTGATATCTCTCTCTGGTATATCCCCTTTCTCTATCTGTAGTTTTAACATAGCTTCCTTCCTCGCAAATAATCCTGAAATAGTGCATCATATACTTAAAGATATATTATGCTCAACTTTGATATTTTAAAACACTGATAATTACTATACAGTCTCTTTTGAAATATAAAATAAAATAAACATCTTTTAAATACACACAGGGAAAATATCTAATGTTTTAAACTCTACGGACTACAGGTAATCACAGTATGATTACATAGTGTCATTAAAAAAACTGGCAGTTTTTATAAGTATAGACCAAATTAATTTGACAAGTAATAGGGAATGCAGCTTCATAAACATAGTTTATACATTTACTTATTCAAATAAGACATATTCTGGAAGAATTTACTAGATTTCAATAAATTTCTGCAATAGAAGTATTTTATCCAAAGATGAGCATATTGTATATCTTTAACTCAAACAATGTAATCAGTGATTATAACTAGTTGATACAGTTGAACCAGGTTCTGTGTATACTAATATCTGCTTAATTTGAAAAGATTATTTTGATATTGCATCAATTAAACTCATAACTGACACTTCAAAATTTGACTCATGAACACTTTTCTTAAATGAACCTGTGCATCTTCCATTTTTAGGACTGCCAATTTTCAATATTGGGATTATCAAGAAGAATATTCTAAGTAAGCCAGGCAACAGAGCCTGGTCAGACTGCATGGATGTGCAGGTTGGTCTGGCTCTATACTGACGGTAAAAATTATTTCAGCAGACTGGCCTGACTCTATATTGGTAACCAAGACTGATCACTTTTGGATCTAGTTGAGAGTTTATGACATCAAAGTAAAAGGTTAAACACTAAAATTATTGGCAATAATTTGCTCTACAATTTATTGCAAATTTAGAATAATGTTTACTATCTATTACACAGAGGCAACTGTATTTAACATTTTCATAGCATCATTACATGAATGCAGATATGCAAAACTATTTTGGTATTTTATGAGGGTACCTGAATAAATATGATGTTTCAGATAATTTATATCTGTATGACTATATAAAATCATATATTAAAAGCTACCTTGTAACATTTCCATACGTCCACTTGCAAAGCTGATTCTCTGACCATAAGCTTTCAGACTGGACATAGCTGTAGACAATATCTCTAAATTCTCCTGGTATTTTGCCCACACACTAAACAATAGAAGAAAAATACTTCTGTCACTTCCTTTAATAAAACTGTATCAGACTTCACTCATACAATATGTAATCATAATAAATAAATTGCTATAAGATATAACCCTTATCTTGACTGCATACATTCATAGTCACCATTATGATTATATCAATGTTGCTATACATACTCAAGTTCCTTTATATTTATTCTAATCTCAGTTTTAGGTAAAACAAAAACTCTTGTAAGATCTTATTATTATGAATTCTAACATGCTTTAAACTTCCCCTCCATAAAAGAGATAGGACAATCATGTGCATTTATACACGATATATGCATAGCAAAACAAACAAATGCTTACATGTCATATGACGTCATAGATGATGTCAATAAATTAAATGACCTAAGGAAATTTATCTCTACACTGAATGAAGTCCAAGAATTTTTATCAATTCTCTTTTTTTATCAGCTTCTTAGAATGGAAATAAATATTCATTTTTCTTACATTATATAGAGGATATTTGTTTAGTTCAGTGTAAGATCGGAATATATTTCACCGAGTGAGCACCAAAAGGTATATTTCACGAGTGGCGCAGCCACGAGTGAAATATGAACTTTTGGTGTTCACAAGGTGAAATATATTTCAATCTTACACTAAACTAAACAAATTTTCTTTTTATTATATGCAAAGAAACGTTTTAAAAAGACATTTAACCTAAAACTGAATGAAAAGCGCGCCAAATAATAATACAACGTGACATCATTTACTACGTCAAGTCATTAAGTTGGTACCCAGTACTGTGCACGCTGGTATTTCACTGAAACAACGTAAGGGGCTTAAATTCAAAACAGCGAAATTATCAAAGTGGTAATTTCACTGTTTCAAACAGTTGAAATTAAGCCCAGATTTTTATCACTGATATATTTCTATAAAACATCCACCGAAAAGCCAATGTAATAAAGTATAATAATGCACAGTTTATTGTTTGTTCAAATGCTTGGGTAATTAATCCACTCTTCTAAGGATGCTATCAACTCACCTGCTTGATTTGTATTCCAGATTTTTTGCATTATTTAACCTAGGGAACTGTGGCATTATTCTTATAGCAAAATTCAAAAATCTCAAAGGCAGAGCAACAAAATTCATAACTAACAATTTAGAGGTATCAATCTTAGAAAAAAAATCTAGTGGACATTTACTTATTGGAATTTTAATATTTTGTTATTTTTAAACTACATAACCCGCTTATTTGTTCCAGGTTGTTTTTCAAAATTGTTTTGGTCTTTATAGGTAGGCGACTGTGCAATTTTGTTAAGGAAAGGTATTTGGAAAAAAATTTTTCTTTGGAAAAAATTTTTTAATCATCTAAAAACAGGGCAAGTTTTTTGAGGCCTTCTGAAAAAATTTCCAAAAGCTTGGGAATTTCCCTTAAAAAAATTTGCAAAAAATTAAATTTTTTAAACCCGATAAACATGTACCCTTTTTTAAAATTTTTGGGAAGCTTTTCCCCCCATAAAAAATAAAATTTTTTTTCAAAATTATTTTCAAAAAGAAAAAATTTTTATACCAAAAAAAATCAAAATAAACTTGTTCCAAAAATTCCCTTTTTTTATAATTTGGGAACCAAAAAAATTAAACAAAAAAAATTTTTTTTTTTCTTTCCTTTCCCCCATTTGAAAGGAAAAAATTAAAAATTTTTTAACCCCCAGCAAAATTAAAGAGTTTAAATTTTTTGAAAATTTCCCAAAAAAATTTTAATTTTAAGTGAAAAAACCAAAGGGAAAAATTTTCCAAATGTGAAATGCCATTTAAATATAAATTTTCCAAATGGGAAAAAACCACAATTTAAACCAAATGAAAAATCACGGGTTTATCCCCAAAGTTTAAAGACATAAAATTGATTTTGCAAATTTTTAAAAAATCCCGGATTATCCAGTGAAAAGTCAATTTTCATGGAAATTTTTAAATCCAAATGAAATGCCAAAATTTTAATTTTTCCCTGAAAAAATCAAAAATTATCCCGTGAAAGCCACCAAAAAATCCAGGGGGAAAAGGGCCCCTAATTATCCAGAGAAAAAACCAGGAAATTTTTCCAAATGAACAAAACCCCGTTTTAAAAATGTTGGTTCAAAAAATAAAAAAATTATATGGTAGACATACTTACAGTTGTTAGACTCTATATTAAGTTGAGCATCTTTATCAGATAGAGTATGTGATAATTGTTCTATCTGGTTCCTGGCTGATGATAACCTCTCCTCTAAACCTTCCACCTGCAGTAACATAAATGAGCGGCGTCATGACAAAACCAAGGTAATGCGTTTGCGACCAGCATGGATCCAGACCAGCCTGCGCATCCGCACAGTCTGATCAGGATCCATGCTGTTTGCTTACAAACCCTATAACAAGTAGAGAAACTGACAGCAAATAGCATGGATCCTGATCAGACTGCGCGGATGCGCAGGCTGGTCTGGATCCATGCTGGTCGCAAACCCATTATGTTGGTTTTGTCGTGACATGGCTCAAATTATCATCAATTATATATACACATTACAGAGTACAGTACAATAAATAACTTCTCAATTATAATACATAGAACAAAACAGAAGAAAGCAGTACATGTTTAGATCTATAGCATTAACAGTTACTTCTTGACTATTTTATGTTATCTTCATACACTGAATTATGTTATCTCAAGGAATACATAAGTCTAGATATATTATGCTCAAATTTGATTTTTTTAAGACTGATAATTGCTTTACTGTCTATTTTTAAATATTAAATATCTTTTGAGTACACACCAGGAAGATATGTTACTTTTTAAACTCCACACAATATAGGTGAACAAATTATAAATTCAGTATCATTAAAACTAGATGCCCAAGGACAACATGTCGAGTCTGCTTACTGTGAAATGGCAGAGGAAGAAGTGAAACCGGGGACACATGCTACACATGTTAATTTCAATGAGAACATTATGTGCCCAGTTAATTACAAATTCTTTCACCAATGATTTATTGTGCAGGCAAGCTGTCCCATCTGACTGTGAGGTATGACCTTGAGGCTCTTGCCTGCAACGCACCATATCATGATGTTAAACATTTGTGCCAGGTTATTTGAAATTCCACCAGCTTCTGATAGAGTTATGGTGCCGACAAGCTGTTTGAGACCATTTATTTGCATTTGACTTAAAGAACTTAACCTTTGACTTAGCAACTTGGTTCTTGCGCACAACACACCATCTCATAATGTTCCAATTTCTTTACAGATTTTGTATGTAACAAAGTTCTAGGCTCATTAATATAACACCACCGCATGTAATGAGACAGTTATGACTGTAACAAAGTTCTAGGCTCATTAATATAACACCACTACATGTAATGAGACAGTTATGACTGTAACAAATGGTTCTAGGCTCATTATATAACACCAC